GCACTGTGGGGTAGAAGGTTAAGCAGCTGCCTGCAGTGCCACATCCCATATGGAGTTAGTTTGAGTCCTGGCTGCTCCAATTCTGATCCAGCTCCCTGTTAATGCACCTGGGAAAGCAGTGGAAGATGGCCCAAGTCCTTGGGCCCCTGCCACCCATGTGAGAGACCCGGAAGAAGCTCCTAGCTTTGGCCTGCCCAGCCCTGGCAGGAGCCAATGGACAGAAGCACTCTCACGTGTTCGCTTGCTCACTCTCTCTCTTGCTCGCTCTCTTTCTCTGCTTTCAGATAAATAAATCTTTAACAAAATTATTTTATTAAACTGATAATATTTCAAGTATAACCTGCTTTCTTAACACTATTAGTTGTACCTACTAGCATTTGATTGACTGTTGGGCAAACCTGGGGGTGTTTGCTCTGGGGACCGCCCTTCATTCCCCAACAGCATTGTTATGTTTTTAGAAGAGCTGACTTTTTTTTTTTTTGGACAGGCAGAGTGGATAGTGAGAGAGAGAGAGACAGAGAGAAAGGTCTTCCTTTTCCGTTGGTTCACCCCACAATGGCTGCTGGGGCCAGCGTACCATGTTGATCCGAAGCCAGGAGCCAGGTGCTTCTCCTGGTCTCCCATGGGGTGCAGGGCCTAAGCACTTGGGCCATCCTCCACTGCACTCCTGGGCCACAGCAGAGAGCTGGCCTGGAAGAGGAGCAACCAGGACAGAATCTGGTGCCCTGACCGGGACTAGAACCTGGGGTGCTGGCGCCGAAGGAGGAGGATTAGCCTATTGAGCCATGGCGCCGGCCAGAAGAGCTGACTTTTAATTTTACAAATAAGTCTAATTCCTCACCCACTGTTGTCCATGGGAGGGCAGGGACATTTGTAATTTTTAAATAAGGAAGGCTTAAAAATATTGTTAACTGTTAACATCATTAGATAAAAAAAAGAGGCATATTTTTGTCCCAGAGGAAGAAAATCTCAGAACTGCGATCTTTTAAATTGGACAAACTTAGTGGCAAGACAAACCCTTGATGTTGGTTTTGATTTTTCAAAATTTTACAGCCAGACGGTGAAACCCTGTCCCAGATCAGCCTGGGTCATCAGAACACGCTTGAGCCCACGGATGAAAAGCCACGTGCGGGCCTGAAACTCACAGGCGGAACAGCAAACAGACCCGAGCAAGGATGCAGGCGGTGCCTGTAGGAGGAGGACAGGGCAGCCATCCAGGCGCTGCAGCGAGGCTGTTCAGAGTGAAACCCTGCCTCGGCTGCGCCACCTCCTTTACCTCTCTGAGACTCACCATTGCTTGGAGGTAAAACAGGCATCATAATAACCCTCTGATTATTACGAGAATGCCACAGGTAATTCCAGAACCTATAGCAAGCACTCCATAGGTGTTAGTCTTAAAATTAACTACTTATTGACATATTGTTATTACTTATTGTTACATTAATTAGTTTTAATATTTATTTCCATTCTTAACCTATTTAGCTCCTTTGGTCTATAAAACAGAGACAAATATACCTAGCTTTCAGGGTTGTTGTGGAATTTCAGTGAGAGAATACCTGTTTGTTGAGAAACCTGATTGTAACATATTATGTACTAGGGAACATGGTTTCAAGGCATCATGAAGTGAAAAGAGAAAAACAATGACGATTACAAAAACAAGCACACAAACATCTACAGCACAGTTAAGGCCAGGGGAGCGTGCTTTCTCGATGTTTGTGTTGTCAGGTGTCTGGCAGCCAGACAGCCCAGGGCTCATACACAGTGCAGGTACCTCCTGCACCTGCCATCCACAGGTCACCACCACTGGTCACCATGTGCTCACGGCTGCAGTCTGGCCTTTCGCTGTATTTAACATGGTGGGGGGGGGGTCTGGCCAGCTGGAGGATTCTGGACAGTGATGGAGTAAAGTGGATAAAGTCAGCTGTATCACTATAATCTCACAGTGATCTATATCTATCTATATCTATCACTATAATCCTCACAGTGTTCTAGTTCATGAGGAAATCAGGTAATCTTACACCCAAGTTAGGCTCCTGGTTAACTTCTTTTTTTTTTTTAATTTTTTAATTTTTTTTAACTTTTATTTAATGAATATAAATTTCCAAAGTACGGCTTATGGATTAAAATGGCTTCCCCCCCATAACGTCTCTCCCACCCGCAACCCTCCCCTTTCTCACTCCCTCTCCTCTTCCATTCACATCGATTCATTTTCGATTCTCTTTTTATACAGAAGATCAGTTTAGCATACATTAAGTAAAGATTTCAACAGTTTGCTCCCACACAGAAACATAAAGTGAAAAATAATAGATGATTTTTTAAATGATGATGAAATCAGATAAGACCTATTGTCATGTTTAATCCCAGCGAGAGTCAAGTTGGGAATTGATAATTTCTTTTTTTTTTTTAACAGAAGATCAGTTTAGTATACATTAAGTAAAGATTTCAACAGTTTGCACCCCCATAGAAACACAAAGTGAAATATACTGTTTGAGTACTCGTTATAGCATTAAGCCTCAATGTACAGCACATTAAGGACAGAGATCCTACATGAGGAGTAAGTGCACAGTGACTCCTGTTGTTGACTTTACAAATTGACACTCCTGTTTATGGCATCAGTAATCTCCCTATGCATCCTGGTTAACTTCTATTCCTTGGTTCCTTCCTTCCTCAAATGGACTGCCGCAGTAGAGGGACTAAAGCTTTAGACTAAAATATGTTACACTATGGACTATGTGATAACCTTAAAAACAATACAGGTACTTAAATTAGTACTAAGAAAATATCCCCAGCTATGGTAAATAAATACAAAAATACAGATGGTCAATAAAAAGCACTTACAAAGGCTGCATAGCCCGAACCTGAAGTACACCCAGAGCTCCCTCTGGGCATCAGGAGAGAGCTCTCCACTGCACAGCACACAGAGTGCAGCACAGTCACCCCGTGGGGAAATGAGACCAACGGGACCCACGGAAAAGAGTTACCATGCTCTAAAATAGGTCTTGGAAAGTGTGTCTTTCCAGGAGGGTGAATAGGAAACTTCACCATTTTTAGACTAAGTAAAATTCAATGTATTTTTACTTGCTGCCTTGCGACTTTTTTTTTTCTCCACATCAGTAAAACCACACACATCATGGGTTTCTGACTCATTTTCATATAAGTAATTAAAGATTTAAAAAAAATATTTGAATTATATTTAAAAGTCACCTTTTGCATTTGTAGTAGAAACTGCATATTTAAATACTGTATTTATTGGAAAGATAGACACATATACAGAGAGACAGAGAGAACCCGACCAACAAAGAGAAAGCAGTGGCTATGAGATGCAGATGGGAGTATGATCTAGGTCTCCCACAGGGCAGCAGCCACCTGACTAGTTGAGCCTTCACCACTGCCTCTTCCCAGGGTGCACATTACCAGAAAGCTAGAAACAGGGCCAGAGGTGGGAGGCTAACCCAGGCATTCCAATACAGGGTGTGGGCATTCTAAGTGCTGTCATAACCACCAGGCCAAATGCCTGCCCCAAATTGCACCTTTAAAATAATAAAACAGGTTTTTGCATTTGATCCTGATTTTTATGAATGAGTTATCAGCCTGGCAAAGCACAATTTCCCCTTTTTGTAAAAACCACAGTGCACAGTGGAATACTATAAGCACGAGTATATCCCATGACAGCTGCAGAGATTAGCATTCAGAATAAACAAGGAAAATCACTGTGTACTTTCCTTAATAGTCTAAGAAAAAAAGAAAGAAAACCATGGATCTTCTGTTCAAAGATACAAAAATGCCTAACTGAAAGACATTTTACCTAAAAAGACTTTACCTGTCAACAACTTATTACGAGTGCATCCCCCTTTTTGGATTCACTTATGTTCTGGAGCCAGCCCTCCATGGTTTCATTCCCAAATCTGCTGTAGTAGCTGTGTTTGCTCAGGTGGGCTACCTACGTCTCTGAGCTTCTGTGTCCTCTTGTGCCAAACGAAGGAATGCTAGCACCTACCTCAAACGGCTGCTGTGAGGATGAAATACGTTAAAATCTACAGAAGGCATAGAACATGTCTGGCTCATAGTAAGGGCTATGTAGATGTTATCTATTTTCATTACCACCGTTATTATTGTTGAATTATTTCAATAAATCTCTTTTATATCCAAGTTTTCTTGAAAATTTTACAAGCTTAAAAAAAATGAATTTTACTTTGCTAGAATTGGGTATGATCAACATTTCATGTTTGTCTCTGTTTAGACTACAGTCCAGTCAGTTCCAGAATTATCACTTAATTTCTGAGACTCTACCATGCACCAGTTAACACTAATGCCCTTCTTCTTGCAGCTAGTCTTGCATAGCACACGTTAAAACACTATCTTAGAGACAGTAGATATTAAGATATTAAGCTTGTGATTACGTGTGGTGTAAGGCTTTAAGAATAAATATCCAAACTCATTTGATCAAACAACATATCATCATCAGCGATGACACACTTATTTTCTTATTCCGTGGTGACACTGTCTGCATAAAGTAGGATTTGTGGAAATAGGGTAAAAGAAGATTAATTGGTTTAGGAGGGGGCTAAAGGGAGTTGAAGGGGAGATTGTGGAAAGAACCAAGTAATGAGGTTTTCCCTTAGGAAAGCCAGCTTCTAGAGTCAATGAGAATACTATATGAGTAGAAGAAGTAGAAAATCTAGGAGGAGGAGAGAGGGGACAAGGGACATTAGAGACAAGTTCTGCCCCTTATATAATGTTTGCAAACTTCAGTCTGATAAATCAATTTCTTGCTCATGTGAGGATGTATTACACAAAATGGACATTGAGATGGGGTCTCAATGACTGTGCGAGGACACACAGTCACCCCTTTAACTCTTCTTAAATTCACCTGTGAGTGCACTGATGCAGACATTGTTCTGCTAATGCCTGTGGCTCACTGTAACTTTTCAGGATCCTCTAGGAGAGCAATGTACACAGAGTCAGAAGGGTTTCATTATCACAGCAAAACCACGACCTACCTGCTGGGAGGGAGATGCGCCATCTCTGCCTCAGTCTTCTCCTTAATCAAAGTGTTGGGTTCCTGATCAATAAGTAAGGGAATATGTTAGTTACAGGAAATGTATGACATCGCTTCAAACGTTAGAAATGCCTCTTACACTAAAATGCCCTCCAATGAGGCCACGACTCCCAATTTTGATATTTGTTGACTTCATCTTGGAACTCTTCAAATATACTGATGGTCATATTTTAGTAGCTAAGAACAACAATTTTCTCATTGACCTTCTATTCATTCCAACCATACATCTAATCTACAAACACATATTTTTCACATGGGGTGCATGAAGATATCTTCATTTGGAATGGGAAAAGGAGCAACCAGAATTGGTCCCCAAGCAACAGGAATCACCAGTTTGCTGGGGTTTTTGCTTTAATGCCATCTTTGCAATCTACGGCATCTTAGGAAGGAAGAAGTGTTCTGATATTCTCCTGAACTTGTTGCCCTGTAGTATGTCCATCGAAGGAGGTGCTAAAGCCATCTGCATTATGGTGTGCTCTGTGCCAAGCACGTCATTGGATTTCAGCCTAAAGAGATTCCCCGTCACAACAGTCACAAACAGCCACATTTTCTACAACCCATCCTCATACTTGCTAAGCTTCCATCTGTCAGACTTAAGATTAGAAACTAGTTATGCTTAAAGTTGGGTAAATTAATGTATGAGACAAGCCAATTTCAAAGTTAAACTTGGCAGCAGTACAGTTTGCCTTTCCTTTTCCCCTTGTTGCCCAGCGTGACTTAACATCCAACCGGAGAAGAAATCTTTTCAATGGTTAAAGCTTCTCTTTACAAATCATTCCCACTGAGAGATTTTGTTATTGTTATTGTTGTAATTGTGGGACAAATGCTATCACTTTGGGACTCCAAGCAATGACAAATATCATTTACATTTTTGATTGACATCAAACTCACATAAATTTATTTGAAACCTAATAGACTAATAGATTTGGCTCAGTAGAAGTATAAATCCTAGAACTTTATCATATTTCACATTTTTTACTGCCATGCAGGAATGTTATGCTTACGTACTCTGCTATGCGGAGTGTCCACTTGCATGGGGTATGAGTTTAGACTATTCCAGGTTAATCCATAAGACTGGGATTTGGTTTTAGATAGAGTTTCACTTCCTGAAGACAACTAGGTTGGCGAGCAGAGCTTAAGGCCTCCAAGAGACCAGCTGAGATGCCTGTCCATAGGAAGGGCCTTCTAATCCCATCAGTTACATAAAGGCTCTGATTATCTAAGATAACATTCTAATTATAATAGAGAGAGACCTCTAAGTCATAATCACAGCATCACTTGACAACAGTCCTAGAGTGAGCATAGTCTTGGCATTAGGCAAATTTAGGTTTGAGTTCTCACTCTACCTCATCAAAGACGCCTGAACCTATGAGGCCCATATTTTCTGAGCCTGTTTCCAATGCCACTGCATCCAGCAGACAGTATGGGCTCAACAAAGTGTAGCTGCTTTTGCTATCAGGTTTAGTCAATCTAGGGGGTGTTCACTTGTGGAAAATCAGTTACTCAAACAGGACTCCAGACTGTAATGGGAAGATGAGACAGAAAAGTCCTGATTTTATTCCTGTTTGCAGAGTATAAACCCTACCAAAGTAGCTTTGGCCAAGTACAACAGGCAGGGGAATTAGAGGTGCAGTTGTCCCTTAGCATCCATGGGGAATCACAATATTCCGGGTCTCCCGGGGATACCAACAGCTCTGGAGGCTCACGTCCCTTATCTAAAAGCATAGACTTCACAGACAACCTGTGCAATACTTTAAATCATCTCCGTATCACCATACTTAATACAATGTAAATGCTAAATAAGAGCTGTTGCACTGTATTGATAAAAGAAAAACAAGAAATTAAGTTCACACATGTTCCATACACATGCAATTAAAAAAAATTTTTCATTCCTGAGTTAGTTGAATCCACAGGTACACAGGACCTACCGAAGGCACCATGGTTAAAAAGGGTAACAGAGCCACGGGGACATGATTTTCATGCTTATACACCGCATGCTACCTTCTGAATTTGTCGGCTGTGTTCTAAAGGCTCACTAAAGAAAACAGAATCAGCTTCTTAAACCAACATTCATTGAAATGTAAACTAGGAGAAGGGGTGTAACAAGGTTAAAAATATGATTACTGATTTGAAGGAATATCAGAGAAATATCTGAAAGCTCTGGGGCCATAGCTAGCTGATGCCTTGAAAGAAAAATGTAAACCTTGGTGTAGCAGAATCATTTCAGTGACAGAAAGTGCACCATTTTTATGGTTATATTTAGCTAAGTTTCAACTCATTAGCAGAAAAGACGGTCCCCAAGCAGATTGGAAGGTGGGATATGCGGATGGCTTTCACCTCGCTAACCTAAAAGAGGTAAGCTGGAAAAATTCACACAAAAGGGAGAATAAAGCTCCATGCAACAGTTCCACTTCCAATACTGTGTTTTTGGCCTGAAAATTTCCTTGTGTAACTTTTAAGGACACAAACATTCTGGGAAATATTTTATATGTGCTAAAATACTGGGATTTCTAGTTCATTATCACTGAGGGCAGGGGTTTATAAAACCTTTATTTTTTTCCTATTATGTTATTGAGAATAAGACTTATTTCAACAAAAGATGGCAAAAAGGAAGAATACATATTATTACAAACATGTACTCTTTATATATTTAGTGTAAATGTATATCACACACAAACACACACACACACATTTACACATGCTCACACACACAGGATCTCCAGAAATTCTAAGGCAAGAACCTCAAGAGGTCATTGGCTGTGCAGAAAATAAGGAAGTAGCATTTAAGTAAAGCTTACAAGATTTCCAAGAAACCAAAATCGTTGTGTACAATTAGTGTCTTCATTTTCTTGTTTCTAATTCATTTCTCAGCCCCCCTCCGACCCACTCCCGTGATCAAAGTCCAGTTGTGATCTCTCAACCCTTTCCCCAGCTTGATCTCCCTGACACTACACAAGCACACACTTATCCTCTCTGCTTTCCAGAAAGCTACCTCCTCCGTGATGCTTCCTTTCATTCAGCCCCTTACAACTCTTTTTTTTTTTTGCAAGCATCTTTTCCATTTGTCCCTTAAAAAATTAGTTTCCCACAGGATTCTTAGAATTTTTTCTTCTCTTGTTAGTTTTCTGCCTTTTATTTCTCGATTTTTAAGTTCTCCATAGCTGGTGTGCTCCACTCCTAACCCGTCAGCTAGAAACAGATTCAGGTCTCCCAGATGTATTGAAATCTCTCCTGGGGCATGAATTTCTGAATCTACTTCTATACAGCATTATATAGATAAACCAAATACATCATTTTTCTCCCACAATTCAACTCTTCCTCTTCATTTTTCCAAAATATTCCTGTCCAGACTTTGCAAATGGCATTTTTTTTCAGAATTTGTATTCAGAATACAATTAGCCATTTCCTTCACCCCACCTCCAATTTCTATCATCCACCAAATCCTACACAAGCTACATTTAAATTGTTCCCTTTCCTTTGCTATCACCAATAAAGGTGGCCCTGTCTCTCCCCTCTGTTCCTGCAATAAGGCTCCGGGCCTCCAGTTAATTTGTATCCATCTCACTTTCCATCTAATATTTCTCTGATTTTTCCACCAGGACGGTCTACCAGAATGACAAATCTGATTATGTGAGTCCTCCGTGTTAACTCCTTTAGGGATCCCCACTGATCATGATAAAATGTAAACTGTTTAGGACAGCAGGCAAGCAGACCTTCACCTGTACCATCCGTGCCCAGCAAATCCCATCGGGACAATCAAAATGCCCCCAGTTTCCCCAAATCTCTATGTTGTTTCAAGCCTTCAGGGCTTCATACAGTCTGGAGTCCTGCACATAACAAACTTCAGCTCTTCCACCTTAATGGGGTTTATTCCATCTTGTCATTTCTCTGCTAACTCACGGCTCCCTTGGGGTTACTGCCTTAGAGATCGTTCCGGATGTGGGGCTAAGTGCTTTTCCTCTCCGCATCCAGAGCTCTCACTGCCTTTCTGTATTGTGGTGCACACCACCTGGGAGTGTAGCTGTCCATTGGTCTGTCTCCCTCTTACCATCCCCATGATGCCAGGAACTGTAATTCCTCATAATATCCCCTGAGTAGGACATAGTAGGCACTTAGTAAATATTTATTAGGTTTTTAAATAGGAGAAGAGCTATTAGGGTGGAGATGATTAAATATGCTACAGGGAAATGATTTGTATATTTTGCAGGATGGAGAAGGTAAGGTTTGAAAGGTTGCATTCCAAACCACGGTACAAATGAAGACAGGGAGTGGAACTATGGCTGTGGGGAGAAATAAAAAATAAAGAAACATGGCTCAGAAACCAAACCATTGACAAAAAGGGTGTGTGTGCGTGTGTGTGTCTGTCGCTTTCTCTCTCATACATACACCCCACAATTTGGAGGCCACTGGATATAAATTGAGTTTGACAGGGTTTGAAACGAAGGATGGATTCCGAATGTGGAGTCAGTTTTCCTGTTGTAATTATAGCTTTAGAACTGAAATTCAGGAGCCACTGAGGTTTTCTACCTGGCTCGGAGAAGAAAGATAAAAGGAGATTATGTCCTGAAACATCTGAAATATCAGACTGCAGAGGGGCTCCAAGTCCCGGGATAATCCCTGAAAAATACGAATGGAGGGGGACGGAATGGTGAGAGCAAGCTGCCTGTGTCCTGTAACCCTGAATCCAGCACACAGTGACTGAATCATTGAATTGAGAACTCTTAAGGATTTTTTAATGGCAAGAAAAGCTTAAACGAGAGTAGTGGTTGTGAAACTGGGAGGAAGCAAAATGTAGCAACTGTGAGAAAATTTGGATGTGGTCTTGAGTCTTGATAATGGTGAAGAAAGACACACGTCTGCAAACAGACATGTTAGTGAAATGGGATGGCTAAATACTGATTTCAAAAAGAGAAAATATTTCACTGAACTAGATACTTTGAAAAATAACACCTTAGTTTTGGATTATTCTTGCTAGGTTTTTTTTTTTTTTGCATACAAAATTCAAATTCATATGCTGTTTTTAAGAAAAAGAGACTTTCAGGTGCACCAAGATGGAATTGGAGGGTTGGCTATGTACGGGTCCCTGGAGGTCCCAGGCAGTTTCCTGGGGCTGCAGGCACAGTCCACACAGCCCGGCAGCTCTGATGAGGTATATCTTGATGAGCCAGCCCTGGCTTTGGGAAATTCACCTGAATTCCTTGATCCAGTCTTCCTTTTTAAAAATGTATTCTGTCTTTAAAAACAAAATAAAACTACATCCTGGTCATAAAACAGTTTTTGGAAAAACAAATCAAGAAAATTTCACTTAGAAGTGATGAGGAATCAAGTCCGACAATTTTTGCCAATTCTCCCTCAAGGTTTCATCGCCATGATTCGCTCTTAAAACAAAAAATTTAAAGATCTGAAATCTCCCCCAAGTTACTTGTTTTTTGACCTCATAAAGTCAGAAATATATGTTAATATGATTTTTCCATGTTTTGAAAGTGAAACTGAAAACAAGTTATTACTACTGTGGCAACAAAATTTTATCATTTAGCTTTTAGAATCTTCATTATAAAGAGGATCATATTAACACTGAAAGGCACACAGTTGACAAATAGAATTGTGCTTCTGATTCTAACTCCAAGGGAAGAAAATCCAGTCCCCAGAGTGAAATCATTACTTCTGTAATGGTCATTCTTTACTGGACACAAAATCCTTAAAGACAGAGATATGATGTATTTGTCTATGTTCTTCAGACTTAGAGATGTTTGGCATATAAGAAACAATCAAAATGATTTTTGAATACATGACATTTAAAAAAGAAAACACATGATACTTACCTAGAACCTACCCAAATGCTTAACAAAGATGAACTCATTCAATGAAACCCTCATTTTACAAAGGGAATGAAGGCAGGCAAGGTTAAATTGCTTGCCCAAATCACATAGCTAGAAAAGGATGGAGCCGGGAATCAAACCCAAGCAGAGTCGTGCAAGAATCTGCACTCTTATGCAGCTTTTACAACAAATGCTGTCTTTAAATTTTAAACAATACGAATGTGCACATCAAAATATTTTACGAGGAAATTGAACTTGGAATAAGAAAACCTGGGTTCAAAGACAGCCTTAATTTCTTTGGCTTGTAGCTTTGAGCAAATTCATTCACCTAATGAGTCCCCAATTTCTTCATATAGAAAATCAGAATGATTGCTTCTGCCTCACAATTGTATTGTGAGTTAAACTGTGTGTGTGTGTGTGTGTGTGTGTGTGTGAAAAGCTAGGACATAATCAGGATATGGAAGTTAGTTTCTCAAGGAGAATGATACTATTTTCCCCCTTCTTCCTTTTCCAAAGGGGATGTTTCCACATTGCTACATCTAGGTCTTAAGCAAAAGGAAATCAAATTCCACTTCATAAAGCATTATTTTTTAGCCTCTTTTAAAGCTAGAGTTCATTTATTAAGGCATTTTCTGGATGACCAGATAATTTTCAAACTCAATAGCTTGTTTGCTGGAAAAAACAACAACAAAATGTTTTTCATGGAATCTGTTACGGATTAAACATCTAACATCAATAAAAGAAGTAAAATCTCTTTCTTCTAATTGCACATCAAGATACACACATATATATTTTTTAAGAATGAAAGATTAAACCAGCAATGTAACAACCGGCATTTGTTTTCACCGAGACCCCCTAACATTGACAGGCGGTGTCAAATCTCATGGAAACCATCTCAGTCAGTGGTTCTCAACCTAGGTTACATACTTTCATCACCTAAAGAAATACGTGAAACTGCAGGCCCTGTCCGTGGATATTCTGATTTAACTAGTTTGGGGGTACAGTTATGAATTTTCTACGGATGGAATTTCTTTCATTGACTCTAATTTGCAGCCCAAGTTGTGATCACAGGTTTAGGTTATCGGTGGTGATAACCTAAGCATCATTGGACTCCTAATTTCATGTTCCTTTTACACAGATAAAAGCCAACATTAGATAATATTTTCATTCACCAACAACAGAGTTGCCACAGCACAACTACAATAATATTGAGTCCTCCTTTTCAACTGTTTAAAGCAATTCCTATCTTTATCCATCCACCGTTATTTTATCTGCAGTCCCCAAACACAGGAAGTAGGTAACAGAAGCCATATTTATATCAGTGAATTTGAGCATCGCAAGACAACTCTGAGGTAATTTATGTGCTCTTGCGCATCAGTTATAATGAAGATCTCATGTTTACTACACTCAGTCATTGGTGTGGTCAATAAATAATCTTAGGACATTTTATAACATGACTGAATATTTTTCTTGGTGGTTTTAATCCCTAAAATTAACTGTAGGTTAGAGGCATTGAAACAAAACAAATCCTGGCTGATGGATGTTTTGAACTCTTTTAAAACACTGAGTAGAAATGAGTGCCCACCAAGAATACTGACTTCAACTGTAACGGTTTTGCAAATGTAGTCATGTTAGTTCTTACAATACCAGTGTAGAAAGCCAGTGATTTCAATGTTTTAAAGCTGAATTCTTTACTGAACACACAGTGGGCTAGCAACAGGCTCTTACAGAGTTTGCTTCATAAATCCTACAACACTAGTTGCATTCCTACTATGTCCTTAATAGCAAGCCAAACAGTCCACATGGATAAAACATTTGCTTTCTTTCATCACATAAGACAAACTTAAACTTGGGCACTCTGCTATTGAAAGGTGAGATTCAGGAGAAGCATGGTCAAACTTGGCTTGATTTTGAACATGCTACTTTCAGTCACCCAACAATGTCAACAAAAAGCCGTGGCTTGGTTCAGGGTAACCACAGCCGGGTAGCAGTCAGGTCTCCCCAAGATTAGCAAGTGGAACCATGCTGTCTAATTTAGCTTACGCCGTTTAACATTGGGTAAAAGCTTACAGATAGAATATTTTTTAGGCAGATTTGCTAAATAAAGCTGGTAGGATAGGTTACAAATCTCATCTGATTGTTGATTTTTGTCAATCATTGGGATTTCCTTGGACGTCAAGGAAAATGAATGTTGGGGACAGAGGGATTAATTTGTAGAGCTTGTCTTTCACCCGGCGTGGAAAGAGCATCATGAAAAGGAGCACTCTTTGGAAACTATGCACGCAACATATTTTTCTTAATAGGTGTGAAGAATGGCTGCTATGCATAAATGATTGTTGGAAAGTAATTCTCAGTAAAAGATGACCTAACAAGCAACCCGTTCGCTACTGTACTCCTTTCCAATACCCAGGACCGCCACGGCACATGTTACGGATGCCAGGATTCCGTGTGCTAGTGAACACACAGCTTTTCTGGGAGAAAATTTACAACTTGAAGTCTTGTCATTTTCACACCCAGTAAGTTGGAAAATAACAACTTTCGAGGGAGAACTGGTGACAGCAACGTGGTAAAAGTCCCAAGAAATTGAGAGGACCCCTCAATCCCAAACCGCTAAATCATAACACCCTCCCAGGACACCTGTTTTTCCTTTAATCAAGGCAAACTGAGACCAAGCTGACCCCTCCACGCTCACCTCCAGCCCCACAATCAAACTGCAGCTTTGCAATAAAAAAGCAAGGTGCCTCGCACCTCCACGGCCGCCCACCGCTAGGACACCCCAAAGCTCCAAGTCGCGCTCCCCTCCAGACCCTCCTTACCTGGAATTCTCTCAGTGCGCGGCGGGGCACAACCCAGGGGACGCGAAGGGCGTTCTCAGGTGGTGGTAGCAAGTCAGGCACGGGCGCCCATCTCCTGGGCAGGCGGCGGCAGCGCCAGGGCGAGGCGAGGCACTGCTGCGCGCTTCTCTGCTCCCCACGGAGGTCCGCAAGCCAGCGAGCGAGGGGCTGACTTTCCTAGTTTGACGTGAGAGCAAACTGCGTTAGTCCGAGTTCGCCCTCTCCTGCCCCCGCTCTGAGTCCCCGACCCTTTAACGCCGTCCGCAGGGATGGTGCGGAGCCTGCCCAGGCTGCGCTCCAGGCTGCCAGGCGGTTTCCCCCGCGCTTGCAGACTCCGGTCCCAAGTCAGCGGGCTCACCTTGCGGGCGCCTGCAGCACGCGCCGGGCTCTGAAGCTGCGCGCAAACTTCTCCCGACTTCAGCGCAGCCCGCCCCGCCCGCCTCCCCACGCAGCCCAGGCGGCGGCGGCTGCAGCGAGGCGCGCCAGCCCCTCCCGGCCCTCCAGCCCCTCCCGGCCCTCCCCTCCGCGCCTCTCCCCTCCCCTCAGTCCCTCCCGGCCCGGGAGAGGGAGGGGCGAGCTGCCGAGCTCTGCGCGCCTCCTCGCCAGCCCCTGCCCCGGCCCCGGCCCGCGATGGGGCTGCGCTCCGCCGCTGCCCGGCCGGGGGCCAGGCGGGGCTCACCCTCGCGTCCTGGGGCCGATAGCGGGGCGCGCACCCACTCTTAGCAGGCGAGGGACCCCCGTGGAGGCCCGAAAGGGGACTGCGGTCCGGGCTGGGAGATTTCCAACTTGTCCCTGGAGACAGCTTTGTGGGCGCCCCGTCCGCTCCCCGGAGGATGCAAATTTCGGAGGGTGGTGAGTTGGCCAAGCAACCCCCGCCGGGAGATAGTGCCACCCCGGCTCCGTCTGCGGCCACCCAGGGGACAGCCCCGGGGCGCTGGAGAAAGTGGGGTGGGGGCGCGGGAGGATGGCCGGCCGAGAGCTGGGGGCAGGAGAGGTCAGAGTTGCGGCTGCAGCGGTCCGACAAACCCGGGAGAGCGTCCGGACTTGGGCGCTGAGGGCTGGGGTGCAGGTTGTTTGGCCAACAGTGCCCTGCGCTTGGGGCGCTACTGGGGGGCACCGTATCTTGGGGTGGGTGAGCGCAGTGGGGACGGCGCTGGAAGCTGGGGATCTAGGGTGCGGGACTTGGTGTCGGGGGCTGCGACTCCTCCCCCTCTCCCCCCTTTAAGTCCTGGATGCCAGCTGGAGCCCGGGACAATCGGATTCCAGGCAGGGCGCAGCCGGGCAAGTTGGCTCCAAGGACCGGCCGCCCGCCACCTCCTGTAGCCCACGGCGGGGCGCGGCGAGGCAGCAGCCGGCACTTCGTCCCTAACTCTTTTCTAGGGGTGCTGGGGGCTATGGAAGCCGCATCCTCTTTGTCCCGCGAGGTGGCTGCGCACCGTCGAGGTTGCTAATACTGTCCCTCCGCAAAAGGAATCCTAACAGCAACATAACAGGAGCGGGAGAAAGCCGGACGGCAGAGCGGCACGCTTCCCCCAGCGGTCCCAAGATTCCCTTAAGCAGAAAGGGCGGTTGGCAGGCGAGATGGAGGCGTCCCCTGCACCGGGCTGCAGCCTGCACCCGTCCAGCCCAGGGGCCCCTCCCTGGAAAGGCGGTGGCTGAAGGTGACAGTGCTGCCTGCCCGTTTCTACTGTGACCCCACACTCTCCACCCCAGAGGGACCACAAGAATCTCTTTGTGTCTTCCGGGGACCCAGTGGGAGTCGGAGTCCGCAGGCAGATCAGCTCTCCCAGCAGACATTCCGGGAGTTTGTCCTCCTTCCCTGTCCCCTCCAGCCTGGTGACCCAGAGGGATTCGTGTGACTCAGCGAGGATTCAAACCTGAGGCACTGCCACACTGTAGGGAAAGATTGTACAGTCCCTGCCTGCCTGGCTTTCAGTGGCAATGATGTTAACAGGAAGAAATGTGGGAGAGAGGCAGGCTGGCGAAGACACACACACACAGCGCCACATAAACAACACCTGTAGAAGAAACCCTCCACATTCAGGATTTAGAAACACATCTCTGTGCTTTGACATCTGTCCTGGGTTCACTCGTTCTCTGCTTCCCAGCTGCTGCCTACCAGCCAACACCTGATCATGCCTTCCTTTAAACATTCTCTTTGGGAACATTAATTACCTTCTTTTGGTGCAAAGAGCAGAGAATGATTAACATTGTTTGGTCAACAGCTGGGGGCCAAACATGGAGAATTTCTCCCTGTCCTAGCCCAAGTCACTGAAATAGCATCAAAGTAGGAAGATTACTTCCAAGTGGACGGTGCTGCTGCCCTCAGCGCTGCGTGGCAGGGCAGGCACAGTGGAATTTTTCTGCAAGAGCCTTATCCTCGGGCATCCTAGCTACCTGACATTGACAGCCAGGGTTGTGAGAGCAGGGCTCTAAGCTGCTACTGAAGATCTGAGGGTCTCGGTGCTTAACCACAACTCAGCCCCACAGCCTACAAAGGGCATGCGTGTATCATAAAGCCCAAAACTGTGTGTGACCTAAACATATGCAACCTGCACCGATGAAAATGCTAGTTATGTCAAGACAGTTTTGGAGGGAGCACGGAGAGTTCTCCGTAGGCAGGAAATTCCAGAAAAGGTGACACAGCAGTGGGAACAGGGATGAGGCTCTTTGGCCCCACAAGAGGGCTGAACTGACCTTGTCAGCAAGACAAGTTTGAGTACCAAAGGCTGTGCAGCTGGCACTGCAGAATTTTAACTCTACCGGTCTTTACACTACTGGAGAAGATTCTCTATGCGGACCCTGTAGGTCCATGGAGGATGAAGTACATGGGGATGACCTGGTAAGAGGAATTGACGATGTTTTTTGAAATGTTGCAGGACCCATTACTGGGTCCTGAAATCAATCTAGGGGCGCACATGTAGCCTTTTGCACATGAACGGAAAATGGCAGAGTTCATCAGATTTGATGTGTGAGCAGAGTTTCCTGAAGTTTGTGTCTCACTTCTACCATGTTTGTGGACTGACTTGCAAAGTTAAGTGTATTTATTTCTTGGGGGCGGGGGTCACAATTATCTTCAGGTTCTTGGTTAGAATAAGGTGATCTTCAGAATACTTTCTAGTTGCAAATAAGCCTTCAGATGAAACCAGTTTATCAGGAGGGCGTTCGGGAAATAAACATCCTCAGCTGTGGTAAGCACATATCTCTGCTCTTGTTACTGATCAGTTATGAGTTTAAGATTCTGTTTTAATGAGACTCTGCCCTCTTCCTTCAGTCCTTCCTCTAAAACGTTTCCCTTTTGGGCAACTACTACTTTACGAAGAAGGATTCTGTTGTTGATCTTGTCTTCCAGGTGTGGATATGGAAGAGCAGCTTTTGTGTGCAAACTCCACTTCTGTCCCCAAACCGTCCATTCTCCTCGCTGAGGACGTGAAGTCCTGCCCTGTAGAAAGGGCTTGTGAGGGGTGGGCATCCGGTCTACAGGTTTGAATCCCAGCTCTGCAACAGATTGTAGCTTCCTGCTAATGCACACCCCACCAGGAGGCAGCAGGTGACATCTGCATGGGAGACCTGAGTCCAGTTCCCATGGAGGGCACCAGCATATGAGATCTCTCTTTGCCGCTCTAAATACATAAATAAATAAAATTTAAAAAGGTTTTGTGAGTTCTTGACTCTGTCCTTCCAGAACGAGGTTTATTTATCTACAAGACCAGGGTTCGGACCATGTCACTTTATTACCATTTACAACTCTAGAATCCAGTGCCTTTCCCAGAACAATCCCTCAAGTTGTTCAATGGCAGTGAGTAGAAGGAAAGTTGCTCTAGAGTAAAGACTAAAATTACTGAAATCTGTTCTTGTTAACTACCGTAATGTACACAAAGGCTGGATTGTAGAGACTGGAAAAAGTCATTTCGTTCTATGCGAGGAAAAAAATGTTGGTGTGGTTAAATGCATTAGTGTTTGTTCTGTTTTTAAAAGAAATTTACTAAAGAGATCTGGCCTCTCAAAAACTCAGTTCCTAGCTTTTGTAACTCCCCATCCCCATCATCAGCAAAGCTTTTCTTACATTGAAATATATCCCAATTGCTCGTGCTAATGTGTTATTCAATACTGCCTATGTCCGAACACTCTGGGCCAGACACCCACGGGGGACCCACAGCTCCTACCCTCGAGAAGCCCACAGTCTCCTCGGGGACATTTGCTGCTTCTTTGCATAGCCTCCTTCCCAATAGACAATAGTGGTGATGAGCCTTCCTCTAATCACTTTCCCAGTTTTGCTGACATGACAGGGAGCATAGGAGCTGGTGCTTTAGTAAAGTCTCTCTGCATCTTTCAAAGTGGGTAACCTGGGAGCGTTTCTCTAAGGACCGAGTCTCCAGCCAGGGAAAAACAAATCCCATGTGAACTAGGAAGTGTCTTTCCAGATTGCCCTTACATAAACTTGAGTTAACTGTTAACTTCATGAATGAATAACTCAGAGTCAGAGGGGATGGCGGGGCATATACCATTAAGTAGCAATGGAAATGAATTGTTCTTCATTGCCCATGAAGTTGGGGATTATCTAGGTATTTCCTATCTTCTGAAGAAAATTCTAGAAGGAAGCTCAAGACCCTGAAGAAAAACTTCGGAAGTGAATGTGTGCTCATCCCATAAATGATGAATAATTGAGCTCAGAAATCTTAGGAGGGAGGTAGACAATGACAAAATAGGAAATAGCCCATTTCTGATACTGACTATGCTATCATGTTCCTGCACCAGGAACTGACTGATGGGCAGGGGTGGGGAAGGCGCTCCTTGAGTTAAGCCTGTGAATGGGAATGAGGCAGCCGTTCTGAACTCCCTGGTAGGAGTCTCACAAAGTATACTGCGACTCCTGTGAGCTAGAAATAAACACCCTAATGGCCCAGCATTTACTTTTCTTGTGATTGTGTGTGTATGTATATGTGTGTGTCTTTGTAAAAGATTCTCTATAATTTAATAGTACTTAGTCTAGCTCAGAAATCTGGGACATGGGAAGTATGGGATAGGTACTGCTAATTTTCTGTACTTCTGGGGCTGGTTCCCATGAAGTTCCATTCGTAGAGAAAAGTCTTACATGGCACCATTTCACTTGGATCGTGTCAGGATGCGCTGGCAGAGTGCTAAGACGCAGGAGAACACCCAATGTCCCCTGGAACTAACGCAAAACTTGATTTTACTATCTATGATTCTTAGCTTTTCATTTCTGATTAAAATCAATAGCTTAATTGGTCTTTACTGAACACCTACTCTATGCTAAGCATTTTATTAAGTATGTTAAAGCATTATCATATTACTTCTACAAGGTAAGCACATTATTATTATGCCCATTGTACAGATCCAGAGACAGATGCAATTGGCCCACACCATGCAACAGTGTTCTCAGCACATCAGATTGTCGTGTGATGTCACA